AAAAAAAGATCATCGGTAAAAGGCAATATGGTAACAAAACTACTTAGCGGTACCAAAAGTGCTCTAGTATCCAGGTGCCGTTCGTGGTGGTGGACAATGGCTGCACTCGCCAGAAGCACCACGTTCGCCCTGAGGTCCAACTGGTCCATCCGCGCCTGGTTTTCCGGGTGCTCCGTTTTGTCCCATTTCGCCAGGCGGCCCCTGTGGACCATCTTGCCCAGGTTTTCCATTCACTCCGGGTTCTCCTGCGGGTCCAGGCTTGCCAGGTGGTCCCACCGGCCCAGGTGGCCCATCCGGTCCTGGCTTTTCGACAACAATTCCAGGCCGACCCGGCTGCCCTTTCAGCCCTGGTGCACCAGGTGCACCATTCGGTCCGGGATTTCCAGGCGGTCCTGGCGGACCCCTGTTTCCACCGTCTGCATCCTTGCCCGGAGGTCCAATATTGCCGGGCGGTCCTTTCGGTCCTGGATTTCCTGGTGGACCAGCTGGCGCATCCGGGCAGTCAAAGCACCAGTCCTGTAAATTTTAACATTTATTTTACTGATAATTAAAACCGTAGCAAAAATTGCAGGTGCAATTCCAAAGCAATGCTCAGCTGTGTGGTTGCTAAAGCATTGAATAAAGACTTATGTAATCAATATATTAAACGAAATTTCTGAAGGGAATTTATCTTTCCAGAAGACGCTCTCCAATGCGGAATTTTCTGGTGTTGAAAGTCACAGGTCAGCCAACCGACGTCTTCTTAGTTTTCACAACACCCATCCTAATCAAAAGGAATGTGTAAACTCGAAAGCTGTTTTATTGCATAGCAATACTCACAATGTGAGGTTGTATTGGTGGTTCTTGTGGTGCATCCGGTCCATCCCTTCCAGGCGGTCCTTGCTCACCATCGTGGCCGTCTTGTCCATCGGGACCGGGTGGTCCAGGTGGCCCAGGCGGTGATACACCGCATCCGCAGCAACCACCAGCCGGTACCGGCGAAGGTGCCGCTCCACCGCCCCCACCACCGAAGCTGGAAGTGATGCCACCGCTGACACCTGCACCACCGTGAGCTTCCTCCACGCTAGAATAACCATCGTAACCGGCCTGCCTACGAATTCGAACACCTCCGTTTACTTGCGATAGCACCTGCAGCAATAACAACGAACAATTAACATTGCTTGGAATGATATGAATAAAAATGATAAAAATAGGAGTTCTGCAATAAAAATAGTCCTATACTAATTCTGCAAAAATTAAATACTAAATATCTAGTTATTAAATTCCTCTCCCACAGTTTTTCTATTTTGACTATGAATTTAGCTGCAAAATTTCCATTATCACCATTCATAAATGATAAAAACAAAAATGCAAAAGATAAAAAAAATGTCTCCGAAAGGAAGTGAAAGTGTTGCATGCTTTTTACGGAGGAATAA